CTTGTCGTACTGACCGGATCTTTGTTGTAGCCCATCAAACCTTGTCGTGTTCACCAAATGCTTCCGTAAATGCCTCCAAAAAGGTTTCAAAGTTGTTTAGTATGGACGATCGTTTATCAAACAAAAGAGCAAACCATGATAGAGCTTGTCTTGTAAGTAAGGTTCCAACAAGCCCAACACGTGACTCCTCCGTTGGATAGCGTTCGGGCTATAAAACTGTTATCAACCTGATTTGGTTGACGAATCCTCGAAACTTGGAATGCGTACTATCGAACTTGTCCGGAAGGCTAACTCAGAGCTCCTTATGTTGTAGAACCAGTGGTGCTTGTCGAACCTGAGGCAAAGTTGCTTCTCCAAGTGCAAAAGTTTGAGGCTGATGCAACCTAGATTGTGCCATCCCAGATGCTCCATCATTATGAAGCCTTGCCACGACTCCTTCAATCTCTGCAATTCTTTGCGATAATGTAGCGAGGGCATTTATGATAGCAACTAACTTGGACTCTGAACTTTTCATCATACTAATGTCTTGGCCCCCGACCATTCTAAAAGAAGGACATAAATGACTCTACAAGAAGACAATATTGGTTTAGAGGAGGGTACTCCGCAACCTCTAAAATGCCTTAAGAGCTTCAAGAAAAGGAGTAATCCACTCTCTCCAAGAAGAATAAGACTCCAATATTGTAACAAAAAAAGTATCAGTTTAGAGGAGGGTAATCTGCAACCTCTAAAATGCCAGTACACTTCCAAGTAGAGGGGTAATCCATACTCTAACAAAGAAGAAACTAGCTCTGATATCTGAGGTGAGTGAAGTCTCGACAAACTGTCACGGACACAGAAATACAGACTTGAGATCTAACAAGAAGTTCAAGAAGAACTGGCAAGAACTAGATTAATCAGATGAATACAAGAACAACACTAGAGAGGTGAGCTAGAGCTCCAAGAGATGTATTGTCGAGACTGAAGAACTCTTCAGCCTCGATTCTAATATATACTCCTATTTAGGAAGCTTCTCAAGCAACTTCTACCAACTAGGAAGCTTCTAGAAGGTTTCACAGACTTGCTTCTAGAAGGTTCTAAAAACTTATCTCTATAAGGTTCTAAGGACTATGTCCCTAACATCTTCTACCAACTAAGAAGCTTCTAGAAGGTTCCAGAGACTTGCTTCTAGAAGGTTCTAGAAGCTTGTCTCTAGAAGGTTCTAAAAACTTGTCTCTGAAAGGTTCTAAGGACTATGTTCCTAACACTTTGTTTGTAGCTTTTGTGTATTTGTGATATTAAAGAGACAGAATTAAAAACTAGAAAATTCAATTCAAGTACTATTATTTGTTGAGTTATTGAATAAAATATTATAATTGTTACAACCTTAAAGATGACATAATTGAAATAAAGATCCTTAAAAATGACATTTTTTTCTTCAAATATATGGTAAGATACAATAAGTTTGGTATCACAAATTTGGAAGAGATTTTATTAGAAGTAGGAATGACTTTTGACAATATTTCAAATATTTTATTTGAAGGGAGTTATGAAGGCCTCAAAAATAATCAAATAATAAGGTGGTCTTCTCGCCTTAGTATGAGATACTATTAGTAGTTGAAAAGATCTATCAACCATCTTCAAAGAGAATAAAGATTAAGATATGTAGCAAATATAATTTGCAACATCTAAGATTTTTTTAATTTATGTTGACCACTCCTCATAGAACTTATGTCTTGAAGAGAAGGTAATGACATAGACATACATATTTATTTCAATAATTATCTATGTGATTAAATAGAAGTAAATAAAAATAGATTAATTTCATAATATTTTCTATAAAAGCTTCTTAGAAGTTTTATAGATATTCTTTTGACTTTACCCATATTTGTAGTTAATTAGTAAGCTAAAAAATTGGTCAAAAAATTAGCTAGTAACATACATATAAGTAGCTTGTGGAATAAGCTAATTATATGGCATACATATAGATAACTTATCTTACAAGTTAAATCATATATCTAGCAAAGTCAACACATGTTGGAGGTCCTATAGAATATCACCACATAGCTTTTAGTTAGAGAGTTTATATGGAGGCAAGAGTGAAGCCTTCTTCACTCTTATCAATGCTTTTTTAGTCCTTATTCTTATTTCAAGACTTTCTAGTCTTCTTATCTTTGGCAATTGCTATTCTAGTTCAATATATTACCATATTTGAGTGATTTTTTAGTCTTTTTGAGTAATATAAGAGTATATTGAGATTTTCTTTATTTGAGAATCATATCCTTGGTAGCAGGTTTATGGCCAACTTATTAGCTAAGTCTTTAACTTATCAATTAACTATAAAATCTATGAAGCTTTCAAAGAAGCTTTTCTATAAGATATTATTAAATCTATTTACTTCTACTTATTTCTATTTAATTCTTCAAATCTTTATAATATATATGTTTGTAATATCAACTTCCTTTTTAAAAACAAGTTCTATAAAAAGTAGTAATCACATGTTAAAGTCTAGGATATGACAAATTATATTTGTCACATATTCTAATCTTTGTTTCTTTTGAAGTTAGTCAAAAGGACCTCTTAGCTATTTTATCAAGTATTCCATACCAAGGCAAAAAGACTACCTTGATATTTGATCATTATTGAGACATTATTACCTTTCTTTAAATAAAATATATAAAATAATATCAAAGTGATTTCTACCTCCAATAATATTATATAATATTAGAATTTTCTTTCAAGATCATCATATCAAATACTTTGTATTTTATGATCAATTCAAAAAGAACATATTATTCTTGAGGATTTTCATCTCTATTATGTTATTTGAAAGATTATGATAATCTTAATGTCTCATCTGATAATTCAACAAATGATAGCTCTTGAGTTGAGTTTGTTGATTATTAATTTTCTATCTTTCTAGTATCACAAATATATAAAAAATACAAATAAAAATAGAAGGTAGAATGCAATATTTTATTAACCTTCTTTTTTTTATAGCAAAGATTTAATATTCTTCATCTTGATTTTGATATATGTTGTCAATGAAAAGCATTAATCTTTTTTGTTATATTTGCAAGATTCTTAATTTACTCCTATGTGTATTTACTAATATCATATTTGTACCAATGTAAAAGATATTTCAATCTTTTTTAACAACGCCTTGAATCTAAGACTTCTTTGAACTCATAATCTTGATTATTGTCTACTTCTATAGGAAGAAATACCATTTGTCTTCTTTTCAATATATCTACAATCTTGTATGGTTCAAAAAGAGACACATAAAATAAAAGATGGATCTTCATAGACTGGTATGTATAATCAATAAGCAACTAGATTGATACGTTCATAAGTAAAAAATGGTTCAATTCTATGGTAATCCAACTTGTAACAAAAGCAAATAGTCTTGATATTACAATGAAGAAATTATACCTTGTTGCTAATGTAGATTTGAGATTGTTCTTTGTAATAGGCATCCATGTTGATCTTTTGTAATTCTTAAGCTTTCTTTAATTGTACCTTTGTTGTCACATGTAGTTTGAATAAATAATTTGCTAAATCTTTCACTATAAGATTATCAATTTTTGAGAAGCGAAAAATATCAAGTTATAGATAATAATCATATTTAACAAAAAAAAAAAAAAAAAAAAAAATTATTGAATAGAAGAATGTACTTATGAACATAAATAAATTATTTAATTAAGAAATATTATATAAAAAATAAATATAGATAGATTTTATAATATTTTGTAGAGAAGCTTTTTACAAGCTTTGTAGACACGGATTTGACTTGATACATGTTTGTAGTTGATTAATAGATTGGAAACTTGATCAATAAGTTAGCTTTATATTGCACATGTTGGCCATTTGTGATAGAAGTTTGTTATGTGGCACACATGTAAAACTTGTCTTGTAAATTAAATATGTAATGGAAGTCCTATAGAATATTGTCATGTAGCTCCTAGTTAGATATATATATATATATATGGAAGCAAGAGTGAACCCTTCTTCATTCTTGTTATTATTTTTCAGTCTTTAATCTTATTTGAAGACTCTATAATCTTCTTATTTTTGGCAATAGTCATTCTAATTTTAATATTATATTAATTTTTTTTAAAATATCTATACTTTTTGAATTACACAAGAGTGTATTGAAGTTTTATTTATTTGACATTCATGTCCTTTATAGTTTGTCAAGTGTATTAATTTATTGTTCTTGTTTTGTTTTAAAAGTGTGTAGATTGTTCTATGGATTTTTTAACATTTAAAAAAAACCATATTTAAAAATAAATAAATAAAATCTATCTAATTACAAAATTAAAAATTTTAAAAGTCAAAAATATTTAAAATATTTTTTTATTTAAAAAAATAATTAAATAATAATAATAATAATAAAGATTCTTGTCTAATCTATGTACAAAAATTCATTAAAAATAAGTTTGTTCTAACCATAAGATCATAATTTTGATATTGATGCAATGTTGAACTTAAAAAAACTAAAAGACTAAATCTTAAAAGCATCAACATAGATTATATTTAAAAATATTTTAAAAGAATTTATAAACATAGCCTTTTGAATAATAGCTAATTTAGAAGAAATATTTGAAACATGTCTAAAAACTATATATATATATATATATATATATATATGAACTTTATTTTTATTTTATATGCATAGTATTATAATCTAGTAGTAAATGAAAGTATAAAGAGTTGGTTATTAATAGATTCATTAAAAAGCAAATTCTAATTCTAATTGACTACACGAACCTTTCAATTAGATGCAACTTTTGCCTTGCAACAAATCATAAATTTTGTAATTATATTCTCATTTTATTAATTCAAATTTTAATATGTGTGTGTATATATGTATATAATTTTATGGTAATGTACGTTCAAATATCCTAAGATTATTCTTCTTAAATAAAAAATAAAATGAAGGTGATAACCACAACATGGTTGGTAATCTCAAGCAAGCTTCTAATATAGTTGAAGTCATTCTCTATATCATTGAAAACCATTAGTAACAAAGTTGTAAACAGGTAAATTGATTTCAGAATTGCACTTAAGGAATAAGCAATATGCTTTACAACCTCCGGCACCGATACTAATTGGCCATGAGTGAGCCCCAAACTTCCAGCTATTGTGCTCTTGAGAATCTCCACGCCCAGTCGTAACCTCAATATATTGGCTCATTTTAAGTTTCTACGTGCTTCAGGGACCCATGACTGGAAGATGCTTGTGACTCATTTGTTTTCACCTACTGAGTGTGCATAATTGATTTTATGCAATTAATTTACTAGGAGTAAGTGCACAAACAGATACAGCCTTCCAAACATTCTTTGCAGCATGGCTGCGATCATTTCAACCTGAATTGCCTGAACTTTAATGCACATGCTTGACAGTACCGTGAAAATAGATATGCTTGCATAAGTTTTGACCATCAAAGTTCGAAGAGTCAAAACTGGACGCTCCAAGAGTTGCTGTCAGGGCATTCTTGCTGATCCTGCGGAACACTTCGAGATCCATGCGATTCTTCTAATGTTCGCGCAGCCTCGGCCATGGTGGGTCGGGTGGAAGGCTCCTGTTACATGGAAGTGACGAAAAATAACTTAGTATCATAATAAAAATTCTAGAACAGCGAATCTCCACATGTACATTCTTACAATGGGATGACTGTAATAAAAGATGTGTATGTTGCATTAATTAAACTATGTTACACATTCCATGTAGTGCGCCGCATTCAAATATTATTTTCAGTTCTCAAGCATCCATGTGGCGCTCAAATTTATTTTAAAAGTGCATCGCTGTAGCAACATACAGCAAGGGCACAACCAACTGTAATCAGAGTGTCGTTCACCTGGGAAGTGCAGATAAGCGCCAATTTGATGACATTCACAACCTCAAAACCATCATAATCCTTGAGTCTTGGATCTACACACTCCCAAACATTACCCTGCTCTAATTTGTATCTCACGTAGTCTCCCACCAGAACAGTAGCTCCGTCAATCTCTTCACAAGGTTTACGACCTGTGACTATCTCCAGAAGCACTACTCCAAAGCTGTAGACATCACACTTCTCAGAAACGCGCAGACTTCCGCAAGCTAGTTCAGGAGCAACGTAACCGAGTGTTTCGTGAAATATCCGGCTAGAAATGTACTTATTCTGAATCGGTAAAAACTTCCGAAGTCCGTAGTCACTGATTTTTGCTTCTAGCCTCTCATCCAGGAGCACGTTAGCGGATGTAAGATTGAAGTGCATTATTGGGACGCTGCATCACAGACAGAGGGTCGCCATCAGTTCAAGACACCAAATATTACCGGCCCTTTGATTAGCCTTCTCCCATCCGCAATCGAGTGACCACGAAACAAACCAAGCCCATGAGCATGTCTAAAAACACATTCTAACGCAAAACTGTTGTTCCGCTACATACCTCAGCCTTCAATTTCAATCAAAACGTACCCGAATCCTCAGAAACAATATCCTTCGCATTAACGTGAAACGAACCTGTGATTGCAATGGAGGCGGACAAGGCCCCTGGCTATTCCAAGTCCGATCGTGTACCGTTGCAACCAGGTCAGGCTAATGACTGCGGGATTCAGATCGTGGAGACGATCTGAAAGAGTTCCATTTGGAACAAATTCAGACAAAATCAGCTTCAACGTCGTCGACAAGTAGTAGCCTTGAACCATCACCAGGTTCGGGTGTCGCACGTTTTCTAGGCTGCGCATGTCAACCTCGAACTCCTCAGCGTCTCTCATTCTTTCCAAAGTGCGCAACTTCTTCACGGCGATGGTCGTTCCGTCACTCGTATTTGCCTCATAGACGGTGCCAATGGACCCCGCTCCAACGATCCTTTTCTTGTCAACAAGAGCACCAGCCCCCTCCTTGATGCACTCGTTATACAGTGACGAAGAAACCCCGTTGAACAGCACCAGTTTTCCGGCAGAAGCTTGACTGCTGAAGTCATCGATATTTTCCTTAACGCTCACCAGCTCTGCTCTCTTCTTTTGCTTTCTCCAAACCCGCACACTGAGGAAGGCAATGATCAATGCACCCACCACAAGTGCACCCGTGATGGCTATTGCTGAGATTGCCGTTCCAGTGAGGAAAGGCCTTCGACGCGCAGCTGTCACAGTATTTGGGGATGGACTTGTGGTAGGATTTCCAGCCGCCGGAGAACTGGTCGGTTGTGTGGGTGGTGATCTAGCTTCGCTACATGTAATGCTCAATGGTTCTCCGCACAGGCCGGAGTTGCCAATGAAAGATGAGGAACCAAATTGGGCCAAAGATCTGTCTCTCGGTATGGTTCCGGACAGGTGGTTGTAAGATACATTAAATATGGCCAACCCGGTCAAGTTCCCCAAAGCTGATGGAATGGTGCCGGTGAACGAATTATTTTCCAAATCGATCTCCCTAAGATCCGATAGATTGCTGAGTTCGGCTGGTATACTGCCGTTCATTTTGTTACTAGACAGATCCCTGCAGATCCAGATCACATCAAAGGTGTTAACGAGGCTTCCTTCACATTCAGCGGAGGGCATGCCTTACCTTGTAGCCAGGTACTCGAACGCAGACAGCCCTTCTTATTCATTGAGAACCACATGAATGTGAACCTCGCCAGCTTCCTTTCTCGGAATGCGATATCTGGCACGGTGCTGAAACGGAAAGAACCAAAGCAAGGAAAGGCATAACTTACAGTTTCTGCAGTGCTGTGCAGTTGCATAGCTCAGAAGGGATGGCACCTTCTATCTTCATGCCCGAAAGGTCCAGTATCTCCAACGCCCTGAGGTTCCCAATCTCCCTCGGTATCCTACCCTGAATTTTGTTGTTCCCCAAAACCAGAGCACTTATGGAAACCAATCCCGTGATATTTGCTGGAATCTCTCCCACGAATTGGTTTCCGTTCGCGTCGAAGAACTTGAGTAAAGCAAGTCGACCAATATCAGGGAGAAGCGACCCGTTGAACTCGTTCTTTGCAAGATTCAGAAACACAAGCTGGGAGCAGTTACTCAATCCAAGAGGCATGTCGCCTTCAAACATGTTCTCGGCTAAGTTCAAACCCCGAAGGGATGCACAGCCACTTCCATTAAGGTGCAACCTTCCAGTGAAGCTGTTGCAAGAGAGGTCTAGATGCTGCAGACTAGGCAGCGAGACAATATCTGCAGGAACCTCACCTGAGAAAAGGTTGTTGTTCACCGACAGCTGTTTTAAGTAATCAAGTTTTCCCAGTTCCTCTGGCAGAGTCCCGCTCAAATGATTGTTACCCATATTGATGTAGTTCAGGGCGGTAAGTTTAGAAAGGGCCTGTGGGAAAGGTCCTGAAAGACTATTGCTCTGGAGATTGATGTACGTCAGATCGTTCAACTTGGTAATGTCAATTGTGATGTTGCCATTTAATAAATTCGATGAAAAATCGAATCCAGTGAGTTTTGTGCATTTGCGGAGATTGCCAGGGAGGGATCCACTAAGCCTGTTCTGTGCAAAAGATACAAACCGCAGACGACGGCAAGTTCTGAAAATGGTGTCGTTGATTGGACCTGAAAGGGCGTTGTAAGACAAATCAAATATCCGCAAATTAGAAAGATGGCTGAGCTCCCCCGGTATACTCCCCGTGAGATTGTTGTGATCGAGTTTCAGCTTCCAGAGGCTTCCTGTGCCAGATTCTCAATCAGGTGGTCATTGTTATTTCATTCCCATGTATTCCACTCTTGGAGCCTTGTAGAACATGAAAAAGGACCACATCGAATTGGAATGCTGGATTCCAAGCAACCTATACGCGTTGCGGCACCTGAAGAATTACATATGAAGTGATAGGAATGACATGCGAGTGGCACGCAGTTGATGAGTAAATAATAGCAGATAAGGATTTGCATGAGTATTTGAATATTGATCATGCTTGCGTGAGTCCTACAAACAGACGAATCGACGTGAGGATAGTGCGTACCTATTTCCGAAAGCTGCGGGGGTATGGGACCCGAGAAATTGTTCTCGGACAAGATAAGAATCCGTAGTTTTCGTAATCTGTGCAACTCCAAAGCGATTGTTCCCGACAACCCGGCGTTGCGGAGATTAATGGAGGTGACGTGAGAATTTTTATCACAGCTAATTCCCGACCACTCACAAGGATAAGAATCTTCAGATTTCCACGTTCTCAAAGTACTGCGCGAGTCGGATATGGCATTTTTAAAGTCCAATAAAGCCCAACCTTCGTCGGTAGCAATGGCCTCCGCCCCAGGTAATGTTGTTAGTAAAGAAATTACTGCCACCAGAATGATATAACTGCAACTTCTCCTTGTGAGCAAATGTTCAGTACCTGTCATGGCTGCCTGGTCTTATTATTCATTCTCGCTTATCCTGTTTGATATATCCAGGTCATTTGTTTAACAAGGCTGGATTGCCCGTTAATTAGAATTAGAATTCTTATATTGTCCGAAAACATGTGTTGCAACTTTGATGTCGATCACTTCATCTCGTCTCTAGGCCAATTTATGATCTGCTAAACCAGGATTGCCGTGATTCTTGATTATTTATATGCCAACTCCTGCAAAATAATGTTGTACCAGAATCGCACGGGCAAGTCAGCAGACTGCCGTGATAGAGCGGATTGTTGTCTGGGATGAATAACACAACTTAAGGCCTCGGAAGGCCCTGTCCTCCTTTCCAAATAGAAGTGGAAAAAGAAACACTAAAAATTCAACAAACTAAGAGACTTGGTCAGGGAGATCAAGACCTAGAAAGGAATTCATAATTGCCAAACTCAGGGAGACTGCCAAACTAGTAAGATTATCTAGTCTAAACGGCCTAAAATTGCACAATTCCGAGTCTGAAGTTGGTAATATCAACTTACTTCCATCGATCGATTTAGCAAGAAGAAAGTGAATATTTGACATTCGGCAGATAGAAAGAGGGAGCAAAGTTCATTTACACTAACAAGAAACAAGATTACAGTCAGAGAAACGAACTCCACCTAAGTTCCATCAAAGAAACCATGCAGTTCATCAAAAATCGTCTCAACGTTTGTGAAGAACACTTTCAAGTACCTCGAGATTGTGCTCAACTCAACTACAACCCACGGAATTAGAAAGAATGCAGGGATAAACAAAATCCATGCAGCACAACTTACACTTGAGAATCAATAGCAACGCAGCATACCCAATGTTTGTACCCCTGTCATTTTCTCAACCTTCCTTGCAACGCAGTTCCTGGAACGACGGAAAGGACTGCTCACACGGACAATGACGCACAAGTGATCGCATAAGAAGAGGACTAAGCGGACTAAGTGAACTCAAGAGTCAGTATTCTTAACGCCGGACACCTACACAGCGATTACAGAGCACCTTGAAATTTCTCGATGTATTTCGTTGTTGCAACGTAGCGTGGATTCACCTGAAAAGCGAGGCGGACATCTCGTGAATTGATCCAACCATCGCAAACGATAATCCGCGCAAATTTTGAATTTCGTCTACAAAATCAACAACTAAGCTGCTTGTGGAACTCACAGACACGCGAGTCTCCTGATGCTGAACTCCGGACTCCAGAAGTTGAGCAGGTTGTCATTAGTGGGAGACAAGCAAGAGATTAGTTGAAGATTAGTGAAAAGGGACGGACATAGCTGTATGGAAGAGCGGCGGGAGAGAGCACCTGTCCCAGTCGTTTGCTGAGAGAGAAATCTGTTCGTGACTCATGACGGATGGATGAACGTTTCCAAATTCGATAACTATGTGGTGCGTAATACACGGAAGACTTGACGTCACTCCAGTGTAGCATATGCTTTTCTCTTTATATATATATATATATATATATATATGTGTGTGTTAAATTTGCATTCAATTTGGTTTATAGATAAATGTGATGTTATATTCTTAAATTTTCTATTTATTAATTTTATTTTGAGTTGTGAATTTAAAATATAAGATTATTTACTCTTCCTTGATATCTCAAATTTTGTTATCTGTGATTTCATTTTTTATTTTTTTCTTAAAATATGAATTTTTTCTATTATTTTTCGAAAATATTATAATATTTTTAATATTTAAATTTTTTAATATTAAAATTTCTAGAATTATATTCATAATGGTAGAAAATATAATTAAAATAGATGTTGAAGATTTTTAGGAATAATATCATAATTCTTGCTTCTTTAGTGATGTTAACTGATCAATAGAATAAAGTTAATGTGAGTTAATTTTTAAAATGCTTCAACCTACAGCAAGCTAAACTTGTTTATTTAAATTAATAGTATGTATATTAATAATTGCTAAAACATTATATAGAGATCAATATCAATATACTATGTTTTCAAGAGCCAATCAAAAATTATATTTACTTATGATCATAAAGAAATCTAAAATTAAAAAAGAAACAAGAATATTTCTAGTATTTACTTAATAAATAGAAAATAACATAAACAAATTTAAAAGCTGATAAAATATTAAAATAATTTTATTACAAATGCATGTTTAACAAAATAAATTATGTTTTTTTAACATTACATAGTTATATATAGTTTATAATGTCTAATTTATATACTTCATATATTTCTTATGTATTTTGTTCAAATTTATTTTCAGTGTAACTACATAAATATTATATACATAGATCCTTTTATATATATATATATATATTTATTTATTTATTTATTTATTTATTTATTTATTTATTTATGGAGAATGTTAAATAGACCCAAAATTTTACTAAATTGACCCACCCATTCTAACCATGATGAAAAAAAAACGAAACAAAACAAAACAAACAAATTGACTCTAGATTTATTTCTCCACTACTTGATTTAAAACCAACTACCTATGTTCCTGCATATGTCTCATTCACTTCATACGTCGAACTTCCTCACATATGTTCCCCTGTTCCGATTTGTAATACAGAATTACTTCAATTTTTCTCATGTCACAACTCCAAACGTTATAGATTTCATTTTGCTCGTAGTGCTGTTGGCTACAAAAAGTAGATCGATAACAAAGTATGTAATGAATGTAGCATAAAAATCTTATTCTCTAATCCTGCTTGAGATAAATCGACACAATGTGCATTTTCATGACGTTTCCGTCAATTGAGTTAAATTAGATTTCATTTACAAAGTTTCGAAGAGCTTTTGCCTGCATTGAATGGATATGCAAGACGTCATCCCTCACTCTCTTCCTGCAGCATTCTTAAAGCTTCCCGGAGAAAGATGGATTTGAGATTGTGCCTCAAAAATGAGAAGGTCTTGTTCGTTGCGGCAAGTACACGCATTAGTAATTGGAAAAAAATTCCTGGTAGGCGAAGTCGGGATCCACCCTGGCCAACAGACAATGTTGATGTCGTCCTTGCAGAGTCTTTCAGTATTAAGTATCATCTACTTTTTTACATTTGATGACCATTATTCAAGCCGCCCTCGAACTCACATTGCCTCGCACTATCACCAGCTAATTTTTGATATAGCCTCCACCATTCTCCAAATGGACATGGATTCCAATATCTTGTAAGATGAAAAAGAAACTCTATGAGGAGCACAACCAGCAATTCTAACCGCTGCCCTTGAAACAAGCAGAAATTGGAAAATTGATAAAATGCAACAGCCGCAAGAAGTGATCAACTCTTGCTCTGATCAGGTGGGGTCCATCCAGTCAAATCCTGAACCGCGAACTCATAGCTCTACTCGTTGCCCTTTCGACTCCTTTGGTGAGCATCACATTCGCCTCGTGCAGTGCTTGAGGTCTTGGTCGCGGGTGGTCGGATGTTGGATTGTTGAGAGAAGGGATGTCACAGCTTGAGTTCATGAGGCCAACCGCTGTGTGAGACGATTGGTGTAGGCCAAATGGGCGTGACCTTGCTTGTTGAACATGTTGTTCAAAACCATTGGATTGATATGGCGTTTCCATGCGGACGATTGAGCGTTGTGGCAATGAATTGTGTTGCGCAGTCCCGAACGAAGCGTGAGCCAGATAAGGAGTTGCGTGTGGAGCCTCCTGCGGACGCAATGTTTGTTCGAAACTTGAAGTCATCGGCAATGCTACGCAATTGCTCAGTTGAACATTGGTGTGCATGAGGTATTCCACTCTGTAGATATCGAGCTCGGACAATGCGAACTTATCCGGAAAAGCTATAATACTATTGCCGACGTCCAAGAGCGACTTATTGAAGGAATACACTGCAGGATATGAGCAGTTCGAGAGAGCCTTGGCACTGATTTCTACCAATTCGCTGTGCACATGCTTAAAGAAGTTCAGGAACATAGGCAGTTGATTTTCGCAAATCTTGATTAATCCACGTTTAAAGACAATGCAAACCACTTGCTTTGCTCTGCTTTCATCTTGATTGTTTGATTTCATCGCAAAGCACTGTTGACCTGTAGAAGCACCCTCTTGATGGGACGGGGGGCTGGGAAAACCGGGTCAGGAGGTCGGGACGGGGAATGGGGACGGTTGGGAACAGAGGGAACGGGGACGGGTGGGGTCGATTTAACAAAAACCTGGGTCACTCTAATATTCTCTTTAATTTATATATATATAGATATAGATATTCTATAAAAAATATTTAAACATTTCATAAAAATTAATAAAATATGAAAATATAACTATTATTTCTTATTAAGTATTCTTAGAAAAATGTAATAGATTTATTGTGATGTTAAATTTTTATTTAATGACCATTAAAAAGACTTATATATGTATTTACTTATTATATAATTTTTATACTTACAACTTCTCAATGGATGCTTAAAATTATAGAATAGTATAATTAGAGTTTTTTTATTTTTTTATATACTAATTATTTATAATTAATTTATTCATGATTTATGGGGCATTATAATTTATTTTTTCCATTTCTAGATTTTTTTTGGTAATATCAACAAATATTGCTAAAAAAATTTAAATTAAATATTTTAAAAATATTTATATTAATTTTATAATTGAGTATTAAATTTTAATTTTAAAAATATGATTTTTTTTAAATATACAAAAATTTAAGAATTGGAAAAGAACTTGACTAAATATCAATATATATATATATATATATATATATATATATATATATCATTTTACATGTCATAAATTTCAATAGCTCATTTTAAAATTTTAACATTTTACATTAAATATAATGCTACTAACAATAAATAGTTGATGTAAATTTATCTTACAATTATTTTAATGTAAAATTATTTTACTTAAAAAACTTTCCAATTAGCATATATTTCTTGATGTTTTATAATTTTTTTTATTTTTATTTTTTTTAACTATGTAAGTTGATTATATTATAGATAATTATTTTATTAAAAATCAAAATATGTAATTTTTTTCTTTGCATAAAACTTAAAAATATATATTTTTTTTGTATTTAAAACCAATAAATTGATTAAGTGTAGATAAGTAATAAATCAACAACAATAAGTTGAACAAAAGGTTTAAATAGATAATTCTTGCTATTTCTGCATTCAAAAGCTTTAAATAAATATATTTAAATAATATATATATTTTTTATTTTTCTAATTTAAATTTTTTTAAAATTTATGACAATGTTTAATCAATCTTGATGAATCTTAAATTGAGCCATCTTTGCTCTAATTGTGTATTCATAATGTATTCCTCACTAATCCAAAGCAGGTCATCTTTTCTTATCAATCTATTGATTTTGCATCTTTAAAGTTTGACTTGATGAGTAGTTAAGGGTGTTGTAGGTATTTCAATTGGTTATGGAGGTAGAGTGGAATGACTCATATGCTCCAATACAAAGTTGGTTTTAAAATCCATTTAATAGACACTAAAGACTTATTTATTATAATCCAAGGATGACCTTTTTTAGACTAGTAAAGAATATATGACATGGTAGAAGATGGTAAAAGCATAGGACAACTGATTTAATATTTCCAAAAATTTATTGTGTAGTTAAACATTCTTAATCTAATCTTTGTTATCCATATAATTAGAAATTAATGTTTTACTTGGATTAGAAGCCTAAATATGATATTTTTGTATGATCTTATCAAAAAAATAAAAATAAAAATTAGTATTCATATTAAACTTGGTCAATAATGAAATAATTGATTTATTTTTAAAAAAAATTATATAAAATATTGTAAACAAAGAAATAGATATTTTATTCTTAAATAATAAATTCTTATGCATAAAAAATCATAATAAAATAAATTAATACTATGAAATATTTTTTAAAAGAATTGAAATTTAAAAGAAAAAAATAAGTATATATAGTTCATGCTCTATTATTTGGGAAATGGATTTTGTAGATAAGTAAGTGAACGAAGGAATGAATGAACGAAGAAATGGACGGATCAATGACTGACGGACAGATGCACGAACGACTATTCAAGCAGATGCATGAATGAACGTACGGACGAATGAATGAACGTGCGGATGAATGAATGACTGCCTGTCTGTCTGTGTTGAATGAGCTGCGCAGTTTGTTGTCCACGGCGGCTTCGTCACCTTCCATTTCCCATTTGAAGCTCTGCTCGTCTGTAGCTTGATTACAGTGACTGCGTCTTCAACCTCTCCCCCGGCGCTCGAAACCGGCAACATTCTTCTGTAAGCTTTGCTGCGTTTCTGGGCACGTCTGTGAGTTCTGTTTTGACTTCTTCCCGTCTCTGATCTTCTCATTGTTAGCTTCGAGCTTGGAAGATCAGACAGCCGTGTCCTTGTGACCGTTCAATGTGTGAGGATACCAATGCTGTCATCTATTGTGTAGATCACTCTGTTTTTTATGCGGTTGACAGGCGGTCAGGCAGGGAAGCAGTCCACCTTTAGTGCAGTAGTGATTGCCGAAAGATGGCGGCATTGTTGGAAGTTTTGGTTGGGGCAAATTTAGAAGTCATGCAGTGGAATGAGTGTGAGGGAGCTCGTTTCATACCCCACGCTTGCAGGCCTTAGTGTTCGAAGTCGGGATGAGAATTTTTTTGCTACTTGTTTGCCTTCTCAGACTTTTACCATTATCGCGGCGGAATCTGATACTTGACCCAATTTGATGCGGTGGTTTCGAGGAGGTATCTGTTCAACGATCAACGCCTAAGTTGACTTCAATGCTCATCTCCATTTCCTGTAGTTTCTACAGATTTCGCAGCAATTACATGACCAATTGCCCGATTGGATCTGAACTGATTGTCGAGTATCTCTTCTGTGGTTCTGTTTCACATCGACGATTGGTCAGCATTGCTGTTTTGAGGACTAGCATTGGCGCTATCCATCCGTAATGACGGCGAAGGTGCACGACCAGGACATGGACCAGGACTTCGCCGAGATTGACATGATTTTGGAACAAGCGCAGCTGGAGCTTCACAAGGACCGTTGCCGAAATCGCAAACTTCGGCGGAACATGAACCTGTCGGTCATTCCCGAGAATTTTGCTCACGTGCCCTCGAATGAGGCCACCCTGCCCCCAGCGTCGCTAGACGTGTTGCAGCCAGATTTTGGAATCAGAGAAGGGCACAAGCGCCCTAACCATAGGCTACAAGTACTGAGCTGCATTGCGCCCATGAGGTGGCTCAGAGCATACATGAGCTGCGTAATGGCGGCGCACGACGGCAACTACGACGTGAGGAGAGCGGTGAAGGGTTGCAGCATGATGAGCGGGCCCGATTTTGCCTTCTCCCCTGCTCGTCCTCCACAACACCAAGTTGGTTATGGCGACTGATGAGTGTCCACAGCGATGCGATCACTTTTTTTTTGATTGACAAATCCCAATTCAGTCATCACTGACAAAGACATATGCGAATCCTAGCTTTCAGTTCAGTATTTCAAGTTGTAGCAATTCTGGTTGCGACATTCTGTACAAGGGCCCGCGAATTCATGGACCGTTGTAAATAATTCGAAAACTTCCTCACAACAATATTCTTTAGGGTACAACACGTACACCTTCTCATCTGCTAGAGATTAACCGACCTTCTCGTAACCGAGCAGTTCAAACCCTAAGTCGCGCTCTCTAAATTCGAAACTTCGCGAAAGACATCCATGCATGTGCTCTCCCAGCTGCACCTCAACAGCCCCCCTGTCTCCATCGACGCAATACACCACCAAATCGTCCCGCAAAAGATCCGGGTCATGAAAAAAAACCAGTAGCACGCGGGTATGGTGATGAAGGCATAGGGGGCTCTTCATGACCACCGGCGGCTCACGCCTCCACGATGGTTCAATAAATGCACTTCTACAAGGGGTTGATTGGGGAAGAGACGGCTGGTCTGCCATTATAATCACAACCCAGCTCAATCTACAACATCCTGCAGCCCCCCCCCCCCCCATTCATGAGAAGGGGCCACTGCAGGGCAGCACAAGACACTACAGCCTGTGTGATTGTCCCTAACGTGGCTTGCCAAGTGGCAGGCTATGCTCTTGTTGCCACGTGGATTTTTTAAGAAAAAGGAGTCTCTCCATTTAGGGGTGAAGATTAGATGCCAAAATGTTTTAGGGTTTTGTTGAATGAAATTAAGAAGTCCCATTTGGTTGGTTTTAAACTTAGAAAAACCAATCCAAATGTAGGAAGAGGAAAGCATTATGTAGATGATACATACATTTTTCTTACGTGGTATGAGTGGTGTTGTTTTCTGGAAAATGCACAAGGTCCTCTCCAAGAAATAGTTTTATGATTTATAATTTTTTTTTTTAATATACATTGGCAATATCAGATTATTTCACCTATATTTTTTGTGATTACTTTTCAAAAATATTTTCAATTGTTTTTATACAATGTTATTAATTAAAACACCAGTTTATTCTTGGTAAATTTTCATTACTGAAAAATAAAAATAAAAATATTCTGAATTACATTCTAATATGTATAGAACTTATCATGGTGATGGAAGAAAATAATACAGATATATAGCACGTCAAAATATTCCAACTTGAATGATTACATGATAAATATATATATATATATATATATAAGAGTCAAAAATTAAGAAACAAGAAAAGGATTACATTTTATGTCGATATCTTCTTATTTTAAAGGTATATTTACAACGTTCTTAATTAGAAATAAAATTTAAAATTTTTTCATAATATTTATTTAAATTTAATAAAATTGTAGAAATTGTCAGAAATGTGTATTTACTTAGTTATTAAAAAATAGTTATTTCTTGTAGACAATCAGATGAATCTCTTTCCAATACAAGATCGATTTCGTAATTTGCAACCATTTTCAACAATTTAGATATGTGCAAATATTTCACCCAATCGGATGAATAGTTTTTGCGTCTTAATCGGCTCGTGCTCATGACCTCAAATCTCGTGTGAACAGAGCATGTTTGGAATTTGAAAAGATCTCCCGCCATTTCCCCGCATGGGTTCCCTCGTTACCGTCACCCCGCCAAAGCACCACTAATCTCACCCTAACCACAAAAACAACACTAAGCAGTCATTGATCTCACCGTTAATCACTGGAACAGCACTAAGCCTACCACTACTCATGACCTTTACACTTTTTAACCAATTCAGCGCCGCGACAGTCTGTGTTGGCCCAAGCGTTGTAACAATGAGCCGAATATTTCCGGTCCACTTCACGCTCTTGTCTATAGTACCGTGAAGACTACGCGTTATATTTTTGGGTTTGGAATTACGACAATATTGTGAGAAACAAGTCGTCGGAGTAATTTGTAGCATGAATTGGTTGAGTTTTGATTCTGAACCGTTTGTGAGTCGTGTGTCGAGGGATGTTCGAGGTTCAATTGGCGGTGAAAGCTTGCGTTACGTTTGAGATGTGTTTGAGGTTGTGCTTGAGGTGATTAGGTGCAATTTTTGATTTAACACTGAAGTTTGAGACCGATCGGGTGTGTAAGAGTTTGTGATCTTGCTATAAACTGGGTGTTGTAAATAGCGTTTCGTCGGTAAGAATTTGAAGTGTTTCGGAGCATCGACAATGTCGATAACGCCCTCGTTCATGTGTGTTGTCACCTTTCTAGTTGTAGCCTTCATTGTGCTGGGTCTTGTGGTGATACTTAGTCCTTATGTCAAGTATGCCAAACACTTTACAGGCCACTGAAAGACAGATTGTGAAATCCTGATATCTTCAGAAGTTTTCAAATCGTAGATCGTCGATTACTATGGAGACTCTGTGGTCTGCTACCACGATGGCACTCCAGATCGCAGTCAATAATGCGTCTCAATTTTCAAATTTCTCTTCGTGCTCCTGCGATCATTAACCGCACCATGGCTTTCACTGTAACCCTAAACTTACTGCTCCAAGTGTTAATTATCCCTCGTGTGTATATGATGTGAAAATTGAACTCTAAAACCAGCATAATGTGCTTAGTATCGCACATATGCATAATTGCAGAGGTTGCACTAAAATCTTCTAAATATCTTTATTGATAGCACTAATTAGTGTTCGAGTAATGCTGTATTTGGAGTCATTGATCCTGATGACAATTGGGTTTAAAACTCCATCTCCGACTCAGGCAATATTTTAGGAACGTTGAAATTGACATTTCATACCCTTCCGAACGGTCGGGGATTAACAGTGATAAAATTCTCACGTCACCTCCGTTAATCTTCGCAACGGCGACTTGTCGGGAACAGTCTCTTTGAAATTGCACAGTCTCTACGAAAACCACGATTACTTTCGGGTCCCATAATCCTGCGGCTTTCGGAAATAGGTAAGCACTATCCCGCATGAATTCCTTTGTTTGTAGTACTCACAGAACCTGGAGTAATACTGAGTGACTCCTACAAATCCTTACCTGCTATTATTCACTTGTCAACTACGTGCTACTTGCATGTCATTCCCATCACTTCAGATGTAACTCTTCAGGTGCCAGGTCTGGAAAACTGGTCCTGCTCAACGGGGTTCCTTCTTCACTGTACGAGAAGTGGATCAGGCAGGGGGTTGGTGCTCTTGTTGACAAGAAAAGGATCGTTGGAGAGGGGTCCATTGGCACCGTCTATCAGGCAACTACAAGTGATGGAACGATCTTCGCCTTAAAGAAGTTCAGCACTTTGGAATTAATGAGAGACGCTGAGGAGATCGAGGTTAACATGCGCAGCCTAGACCACGTGCGGAACCCGAACCTGGTGAAGGTTCAAGGCTTCTACTTGACGACGACGTTGAAGCTGATCTTGTCTAAATTCGGTCTAAATGGAACCCTTTCAGATTGTGTGCACAATTCAAATCAGGCTGTAAATCCCTCACTGGGTCAGCAAATGTGTATATGGATGAGAGGTTGGAGGGAAAATTAATGACTTCAGTCCAAGCTGGAATACCACAAGGCACTCAGTTACGTTGCTCTTGAACATGCTTGAGAAGCCTGCGCGTTTATGAGAAGTGTGACGTTTAAGTTCTTAAGGGTGCAACAGGCAGATAGCCTTGTGAAGGTAGGCACTGTTCTGGTGGGAATCCACGTTAGAGACAAATTGGAACAGAGGAGACTTTGGGAGTGCATTTTCCCGTGATCCAGCGATTATGGTGGTTGAAGCTGTGAATATTAATTTTGCGATTATCTGCACTCTCCAGGTAAGTGACAATGGCTATGGAGGTGCTTTATCCTCTCATCTCTTTTGGATCAATGTTGCAGTTTTGTGAATATGCCGAACAGTTGTGCAAGTAATGGCTACATGCAACATATTACATGGAAGACACGTAAATAGCATATGCAGTGTGTGCCCATATCCAGTGCAGTTGACAGAAGCACATGGCCACATTAACTGCCTCAACCTGCTCATCACGTACATGACTGAAATAGGAAGTGTAATAACCTTTCGTTTGCCTCATTTGCAAGCGAACAAGTAAATGTAAACAAGAACATACAGAAATTAGTCATATCTCGACTACTTCAAACAAGAGCACCCAACTTTAACCTAGCGTCTGGACTTGTCCATAAATTATTACTAAAAGCAACTATCACCCTGGTCTCAAGAACTTCCGCTTGAATTTCCCAATCCGCATTCACTGCGACTAGGAGAATCGCAGCCTGGAGTCGAAACCATAAATCTCATGATCTGCGTGTTTCTTAAAAAAATATCTACCATGCAAACAGTCTCACTCATAATTTGTAACTGAGTGGTATGTCTCATATCTACTAGGTTACACAATCTTGGCTCACTGAGGAAATTTCAGATCACGAAAACGATTTCAGTAGTGAAAAATTGTATAGTTTGATCACCCAAAATTTGAATCCTTCACTTGCAACCACACTGAATCACTATGACTGTAATCAAATTTAGTACCAGGTCCAGGATCCAAAAAGCGGGAGATGATCAAACCATACAATTTTTCACTACTTGCCTAAAGAGATGGGTTAGTAAAATTAATTGGGATGATTGCCAGAAGTCTAGAACCACATCATTATCCCTGAGATGATTCGCCAAATTAGATTTGATACCCTCCGATGTCCAGACAAATATGCTCACCGATGTACTTCTACGGGTTTCATGCATTTTTCTTCAGGCGGAAGCCTCGAGCAGAATGATAGTTGCAGGTACTCAGAAAGTGATCAAGGAACATCACAGATTTTGCCTCATGTTAGGTGAGGTCTCTATTGAATTTGATACAGCTCAAGAAAACAAATGGTTGCACACGCAACATATCCAACAAATCAATTGCGTTGTATCTCAGACGTAATGGCTCATTGGGAAATGGCTACTAAAAAATGCTTCAAGGCCCGCACAAGGATCTAAGTGTATAGCCTTCAAATTTCAATCGACTATCGGTTAATTCTCCCCTTGGCCTATGATTTAAGGACCAGCAGGACATAAAGTGGCGTTAAGGTGAATTTTACTCACTTCGCTGCTACAGAACTTTCACTGCACTCAAGCGAAGCATTGAGGAGTTTCAGAGATAATCTGATACCAGCAGACAAATCAATTCAGACAGCGGTTGGCGGAGGGGGTTGTATCAAGCTTGAACTAGACTGATGAACGTCATTAAGCTCCAAGTCTGTCACTTGTTGACCACTAGGAAGTAGAATCTCGGCCTCCCTTGCAATGTGAAGATCAGATGGCCAGAACCATTGCTTCAATAACTTCACACAAAATCGTGGCAACAGCGCTAATATAACAGTTAATAGCAGAGTAAACCAGAACCTAACAGACCCACTCATATGAAATACAACCCTGCACACAAAAAAGAGAACACATAAAAAGCAAATTGAGTCCAGTAAGAACCACATCTAAACATTCTGCAAGCCTGACACTGCAAGTTAACAGATCCTAGAAGAAAACTATACCACAAAGGAGAGTATTAAGGGTCATCGTATGCAAATGACTAAAGCCAAGCCTAAGCCAAGGAATAGTTGACCAGATTATACCTAAAATTATGTTATCTCACAGGTAACATCATACCTTTTGCACTTTTATCCCAGGATTACGTGCAGTACATAAGAGCACAAAATACGAAATTCAACAAACCAATAAACATACCAGTGATTAGGGAGAAGGTCCGGGACAGATAATAAGGCATCCATGACTAGTTGGCATATATATGTCACAAGAGTAGAAGCCCAAATCGCGACATGTTCGATCCATGTCCATCGCTTGATGTCCATCGCCAGATGTGTATTTACCAAGATGACAACTGCCATGCACCACACTAAGCCCAAACCATACAAGTCTACATCCGTTACCTTATAGATAAAGTAAGGGACATAAAAGAGTACTAAACTCTGCCAAAGAGTGTCCAACATGGTAATCCAGAAAAGACGCTGGTTGTAAGCTTCTTCTCGCTGGCCAGACCCATATAACGGTGGATAAACGTACAGTGTCTTCTGATTCACATCCATGTCTAGTATGCCTACTACTATTGTCGGAACGGAGGTGTAAATAAGGGAAAAGAACACTAAATTCCAATCAGTGAGAGCTGACTGTGCTGAATAAGCTGCATAAAATATGAACCTGGTTAAGCACAACATAATGCTTGAAGTTAGACGAGTATTTCGCATGTTCACAAACAGTATCACATCAACATACCTTTAATAGATCTAAAAATTCAAAAACAAAAGTCCACTTGGAAAACTAGTTGATAGCGGATGTGAACTTGGCATTCAAAAACAACATTCAACCAAATAAAAGCAAATTCAAGAAGCAATAAATTTACCAGAAAAGCATCATTACAAAAACAGCATTGCGATAAAAGTTGTAGAGAACCATGTAGCCCAAACGCTCATAGTTCCAGTGACCATGCACGAGGAGCAATTTCTTGAGGAACCGAAATTGACCAATTGCGAAATCAGAGGCCATGACAGCCTGCCTCCCTTCCTGCCCACTGATGCCCACTCCGACGTCGGCCATTTGTATCATCGAGACGTCGTTTGCACCTGCGATAAAGAAACGACACATTAAATGATCTACACTACCAGAACGTACTTGATGCCAGTAGCTGCTGCTATCACCTTCTAAGACAGATTCAACACTTATGTGAATAAAAAACTTCGGTTGAGAAATTCTCCTATGATGTAACTATAACTCATACAGTTATGTTTTTCCAAAAACAGTATATCAACAAGTGAGGATAATGCAAGACACACCATCACCGACTGCCAAAGTCATCTTCCCAGCTTTCCGTTTGACGAGGGAAACAATGCCAGCCTTCTGTAAAGGAGCAACTCGACAGCAGATCACCACTTTGCAAGCCGTTGCAAGTTCATAAAGCTGTTCCAACAAACAAGGAACATTGAAGTATAAAAAAAATGTTCGAAGCCAACTTTATGAGGTCAACCCTCAATTAGATCCATTTAGGTAATTGACAAGAAAACCCATATGCATAGGCAAAAGACAATTTAAATTCCTACAATTATAGGCGCAAGATTCAACATTGGTATGGGATTTAGCATCTCTTTGATTTGCGCACAAAAGATTGGTAGCACTTACATCTTTTTCCAATGCAGACGTTAAGGCATGTACCAAACTGTTCCCATCAATAATGAGGGCTAGAGGTTGGTTGAACCTGCTATTACTATCTGCTGATTCTCCAGTCACTTCATCATGTCCACTATTAGCAGCATCTATACCATTTTGACGTTTCCATGAAAACAACTTTTTTTCTGGTGGTGGTTTTATGACATACTTCGCCTTTGCACCTAAAATCTTAGAGCGACAACCTTCAAATGTGCTTTCATTAATGATGATTTGCTGCATATCCCGAGTAAGAAGCAGACACGAGAATCCTATGGAGATGGCTGTCTCTTGCTTATCACCAGTCAAAACCCATAATTTGATACCTGCCTCCCTAAGTAATTGAATGGTTTCAGGAACCCCACCCTAGAAGAATGAAATCAAGAACGTGAAGTTAGACTTAGTCGATCCTACAAGTCGGACTGAAAGAGGTAAGGTCGTAGCAATATACATCATTCAGCAGAATACCTACCGCTGCTTCATACATCCTCGATCATGAATGAGAAGTTTTCATACAACGTGAAAAAAAAGATATCCAACAAAACCTCAAATGGCCAAGGGGACCATCAAAATATGCATCTGAGCATCTGCTCAAACTGAGACTACAGAAATCCGACTAGTTATTAAGAGTAGTCTATAGATAACAAATATGATTTATCATCTACATCAGAAGCAGAAGCATACCTGAAGTTGGTCCTCAATTCCAGTGGCACCTAAAAGACTAAGATTGCACTCCACCAGTTCTGCGGCATTGCGCATCAAGCCAACCCTATCATGCAAAGCACTACTTGCTTTCACGTAGTGAAAATGCCAATCCTCAACCTGAAGCCACCCGAAAAATAGGATTACGATAAATTATAATTGTTGAGATCAGGGAAAATAGGAACAGAAATCCTAAATCCTATCAGCGTATCCATGAAGGGTGAGCAGAAAGACGATACTTCATGTGACTCAAAGCACCTCATATTGATGTCAATTGTTAAGATTCAAATATCATTCACATAAAGTTCTGATAGTCCACCTCTGCCATGTTCTCCTGAATCTCGCTGTATGCATAGCTTATGCTTACACTTTGTCAACATGGAATTCACATATAACTGGCTGATATGGTTTTACCTCTTTCCGAGTAAGCACCTTTGATGCTACTACAAGTGTCCGCAAACCTTTACGGGCATAATTATCCAGATGTTTCAAAGTTGCACTCATCACCCCATCAGAAGGCTGTAACTCATCCACTGACTCACTTCCTCCAATTGAGTACTCATCCCCACCTTCGCCAACGATACTCAAGAGGGAGGAATCAGCGCCTTTCATTAAGAGTTTGATGACTTTATCGGGACCCTCCACTACAACTGACATGCGCTTCCTCACGCTATCAAATTCGTGAATCCCCAATACTTCATACCTGCTTGCATGAGGAAGGATTTACTAAGGAAGTAACACCCGTATTATTTGTTTCTATCTAGATGTTAAGATCATATACGATATGATGAAAACCAAGAGTATAAAATAATTTAACAGATCAAGAAAACTAAAAAAAGGAAAGAGAAGAAGAGAAGGAATGAAAAGAAAAGAAAAATACAAAAATTAATAACGTATAATTCGGCGCAATACAAGTCAAATCTTCACTTACCTCCGCCGATCTCCACAGACGTCTATGACGATGCTTGCAGAAGTCCTCTCAAGAAGGGTGAATCCGTAAGCTGCAGCAGCTGCTACAAGAGCTTGCTCGTCTGGAGACTCTCCTTGATACTCTATAAATCCTAAACTATCTCCATTACCATTAACTGCCTCCATTTCCAACTGACCCGAAGCAGATTTCTTCACCCATGTTGGAACAATCGTATTGCATGCGGCCAAAACAAGAAAATATTCCCATACTAAATGTCGAGCAGGTGCGGGTTCTGGACTATCCAATATACGACGCAATTCCGAGTCAACTTTGATGCTTTTCCCGATCTCAGTGTCCGCAGGGCTAATTGAACCGTCAGCTTTAACTGGCACTGTATCAACAGTAATCTTCGCGTAGCTATAATCTACACCGCCAATGCTTGCTGAGTCAAATTGCATCTTGTTCTCCGTTAATGTACCCGTTTTGTCAGAAAAGAGATACTTTACCTGACCTAAATCTTCGTTGATATTCAATGCCCGGCACTGGAATCTTGTATTTGAACTTTCATGGTACATCTCTCTGTCTCGTGTCATAAAATACGATTGTCCAAGTCGTACTAACTCCATTGAAATATACAAAGATAAGGGAATCATGATTTGAAACCTGATAATGCAACTCAAGAAACCAATAGCTCCCTCGCCCCACTCGCCGTAAAATCTGTAATTCTCTCCTGTCAGATCTTGTTTTTTATAATAAGGGAGGACTGATAATATATCAGAATTGGAGTTTACCCAAAGACCCATTCCCAATCCACCTATGAAGCAAATAATGATCAAAAAAACTGCAAGCCAACCCGTTTCTCTGTTCATATAATGTTCCAGTCTACTCCGTTTTGACTGAGCTCCAGCGCTATTTAGCATGGCCTTTGTCTCTCTACCCGCATAAACAACAACCCCAAGTACCCAGACAGTATTCTTCAGCTCACAACCCCGTAGGATGATGTTGTTAGCCGCCAGCGGTACCATAACTCCCGATCCCAAATCCATGCGACCTTGGAACTCGTAAATATTCCTATTTGGAGTCTCACATACAATAGTACCCTTCAAAGGTCTTTGCTCGGGATGCTCAACAGTGAACTCCTTCCTCGCATACCTGCTCTTCAAGTTTGACTCCCCATCAAGGTTCAGAGTTTCGACATAACAAACTCCAGATGGATCACTTGAAGCAAGCAAGACTATGTCGCAGGGAACAGTCTCGTTGGCAAGGACTTTCACCACCTCTCCTACCTGAATGTTCTTCCACTTCTTATCCTGAAACTTATCGATTTGAAACACCAAAGATTTACGATTATTCTCCCTCTTATCCGACCGACGTCGGCCAAAGTCCTCATAACCATCTTTGATAGCTGTGACCACTAGCACCAGTATAAGAGGGAAAAGAGAAGCAGTTCTTCCAAAAACTGCAAGTTGTGGAATTTGATTTAGAATAACAATAAAGAGAAAGTAAATATATGCAAAGCGATGGAATTGCTCGAACAGATTCTTTGGTAGAAATGACAAAATAGTATATTTTGTGGTTCGCACTGTGTTCCCTGCCATGTTGAAGTTTTTGTTAGTTCGATCTGGATTGTTGATATACACGACCCTCAGTGAGTCATCCTCTCTCAGACTGGGTCTTCGAGTAGAAGATAGCCTACGCGAGCCAGACAATCTTTGCGAGCCAGATAATCTTTGTGAACCAGAAGCTGTCCTCTTAGGTGCTCCATTGGAAACTTCTTCCGAATCCCTCCTAACCATGACCGCGATTTCCCCCTGTGGTTTTCTATCTGCCTCAATCCTCTCGCCTGTTTGGGCTTCATTGCTCACAGACGGCACGTCCTGTGAACGCCCACCAGGAAAGGACTCCAACTCAGGCATAGAGGTTTCAAATACTATCCCAACGAGGTTTATGAGGGCGAATGACAGTAGATTAATAATAATCTACATACGGCTTGCTGTCCTGACGTCCCTGTCCCTGAACACACATACCACATAGGAATCATTCGAACCTACTTCAGTCGTTCCCGCTGTTTTTTGGACGCCAATTTAACACCCATACGTCAACAAACAGCATGTATAAATGAATGCTCGACTCCCAAATCCTTCTAGTACAAGAAATCGAAGAAAAAGAAAACACAGATTTGAATATAGTCAAGCTGACATCACTAGTTGATTTCTAACATCACGTATTCCTACCTTCGACCCACGTATGTCACTTTTTCGAAGGGACTGTCAATTTCAGCAGGCCGCATACATCCTGCACAGAACTACTTAAAGGAAGCGCATTCACAATCTCTCCAAGCAAATTGAAGTCCAATGACATAGGTTCCTCAAGATGAGGTTGGTTAAATAGCCCATACCTGAGGAAAAGACGGCTGGTTGAACATAAGACAAATTTGAATCATTCTCTCGTGTTTACAATTTGTACAGGATAGTATCCTAAAACACCTGCATGTAGTTGAATCAAATAATCATCATTAGATTCAAGCCACTGTTAAATATCAATCCAGTAGTATATTGCAATATCTAAGCTTCCATTGCAAACTCAAAAATCCTTGTTGACACAATTACTATCAGTGGCGAATGCTCGCTTCAGCTAAAAAAACAGGAGAAGAACTTGCGAATTACAGATTTTCATCGATATGCTGGAGGGGAGAAGTGAGTGGCAAGCAGCTTAAGCTTGACAAAGTGTTGCTAGCGGTCGAGAAAGGGGCTCCTCCCAGCTATGCTCCTGCGTGTTGCAACAAGGTAATGATGAAACCAAACAATCCAGGGACTAAAACTTCAATTTCTTGACCGCAATGCGCTATTCTAACGTGGATGATTCAAGTGCCGGGTAAGGATGAAGGTAAAGACCATAATTGTTTGGAAATAAAACCCTTGTCTCTGATCGATTAAGCAATCCAAGGATACTAATGAACAAGACAATCAACGAGCAAGCTTCATGATATCTAAAGCGAGTAGGAAATCAGAGAGAAAAATACCATTTGGTCAAAGAAGGGCATTACATTCTTTGAAGTTGGAGTAAATGTGCCCGATGACCTGGTGCTGACGTTCGACTGATCCTTAGAAATCCTTGGCACTTCGCCCGACAAACTTTCTTCAGGGGTCATTTTTGCACTTAAAATGAAAAACTACAACCTCATTTCAGTGCTCTCGTAGGTACAAGATGTTTGTATTTGCACCAATACGGGTGGTTTATCTAAAATTTCGCGAATCCGTCATAGAAACTCATTGTAGTTGAATTGCATCTTCGAAGCCTAAAATAAACCATTTCCAAGCCATGCAAAGAGGTTCAATGTAGCCCTACGTGCTCGTAAGTTGACTTCAACTAAAGACAAAGGTACTGATAATCTCAAACCCTAACACAAGTAGGATCGGCATGAAACAGTTTACGGTTACAGCAAACGAGCATATGCATTAGTTTTCGTAAAACCCCTCCTGTACAAAATCCGACCATCTAAAAAATACGCCATCGAGTTCACAACAAAAACACTTCTCCGCTGCGATGTTTCAGGTTTACACAACAGACTCCCGCTAATCAAAGACGTGATGCCGCCGAGTGAGTGATCCCAAAATCCATGCTACAAAATTTCTCTTCGCCTCTCAGAAACTCACATTCCCTATGTACGCTACCCAAAAAAAAAAATCGTACAGTTACAGTCAGCTTCCACAAAGAGAAAGAATCCAACCAGCTCACAACAGCCAACAAATCACGAATTATCTCAAGCGGAACAAAACCCCACCATTAACCGCTTGACAACCTCAACAATCCGCGCAGAAAAACCGTGTAAAAAAGTACCTAAATTTCACTTGAATTCGGATCTCGGACACTTGGTCCGGAAATCGGACATAACAAAGGGGGTTGGTTTGAAGCAGTGGACAGGAGCACGAGACAGAGACTGAGGACGAGGAGACGTGATCGGCACGTATGGAGACTCCGCCACCTCATTCCAAATCTACCGTTCCGATTGTACTGCTGAGATCCATAGATGAACATCGCGGAGACACGCCTGAGAAGCTACCCCTGCAAATACCTAATTCGAATACGTCCAAATTAGAAGCTTGCTTTTGAACATCAGCGTTATCGACAAAGCGGGTCAGTGACGCCGTCCTTCAATTCCAAGTCGCATATTATGCGGTCAAACCTTCGCGACCCACATCAGCATCTCCTGCGATCATACGATCATTCCCCCAAAAGTCCGCCACGTTGACTGGACTTTGGGCGCGAGGGGGAATGGGCTCCGCAAACCTCGATTAGGGAGTCTGTGCGGAACAGTCTGCCGCACTCATATCGCTCCGCTCACACTGTGCTTTCTTGCAAACTGTTGCTCTAATCTGACCATACTGTGCTCACATGGTTCGATCACCCTTTGTTACGTTCTAGTATAAGCGCGGTGGTCACCAGAGATACGATTCTGGCTGTATTCGAGGGACCCAGAGGGGGGTGGAATTAGGGTTGTGCCCCTGTGGTCGCGTTGATAGGCTTCTGTTGTCCGTGACTAACTCGATGTGATGATGAATACTCGTGTTAGCACCATGGCGACATACGCTGACCGTGTCAGAGGAGCGTCGCACAGAGCCATATGACAGAATGCGATTGGAATCAAGAAGGGCTCGCCCGGTCGAGTCAGGGGACAGCATCGCGGGCTTACAGGACGCTTTCTCAAGTATTTTTGCCCAACAACAGAACCCCACCGGGACGCTTTACCCCACGAAGGCCCTGCCAGGTGAAGACCTACCGGCTGGTTACTCCCCCAGCTACGCGGGTTTCTTGCTCAGAGATACTGATCGAGTCATCAAGGTAGACCAAGCGCTGGTGAAACAAGAAATGGATTTCCTCACAAATTTGGTGGCCACCGCTTGCTTTGTAGGAGGTAAGCCTCCGAATACCCAACTCCGACATTGGTTAACCCAAGTGCAGGAAACAGTGCAGGGGTCATTGACGCTGGGCCGCAACCTTGGGAAAGGTTTACTTTTGGTTAAATCAGATACCACAAACACACTGAACAAACTTCTGCTCACAACCCCGAATAGGTCGTCACAGGGACTTTGCATCTTCCAGAGATGGGTCCCTGGATTCGAACCTTTCTCAGAACGGGGTTGCATCATGGATGGAAAGACGACCGGCATGAAGATTCCCATCTGGGTCACTCTAAAACAAATCCCGGACGAGTTTCGGGGAGTTGCACAACAAATTGCGGAAGGAATCGGCGAGCTACTGGGGGCGGATTCTGCAAATTCAAAGACAGAAGACCCCCGTTTTTGCCTAGCCCTCAGCTCCGTACTGGGGTGGGTGCCCTCAGTCACGGTTTACAACGAAAAAACCAAGACTAATATCACTATTCTAATCGGCTACAACTACCTACCCCTTCGCTGTCGTTACTGCCTTGATACCAAGCACCGGATTCGTGACTGCCCTGCCCGCTTGGAGAACATGAAGCCACGAGGGCACACCACAGTATCGCATCACCATCACACGGGAGGTCGAAAGCCAACCCGAGAGAAAGAGAAACCAAACACAGCTCAGCACTCGACCCAGCCACGCGGACCTCTGCCCGCAAGATTCAGCCAGCCGTCGAACGCGGAATTCCATATCTTTGTTTCCAAACATAAGCGTAAAGGCAGGGGGCACCCATCAATGAATTCTAGATGGAACCTGGGCCCTTCAGGAGAGCAGATGCCACACCCTGCCATCCAGCCTCCAGAAGTAACTCCTGGGACTCACGTAGTCACCTCCACAGGACCCATTCGCATCGTTCCGCCATCTCCTGATCAACTCATGCACCTAGTCGTAGTCACCACCCCCCGATCTCCAGATCCATCCTCCCCCAGCCACCATGAGTCTATACTATGGTCTCAAGCTAGCGGGTCGCAAACGTGCACCCGAGGCCGAACCCCTGACATCTCCATCGGAATAGTTGGAAGCGGAGGCTTCGATCCATTACGGAAGTCCTTTACCAATTGTAGCGCGACAGGACTTGAACTCCTTCCCAGTGGGGTCACTTGGTGAGGGACCTTCAGTTGACTCAAGTTTTATCCGTTGCACACAGACGACTCCGTGCCCAGGTTTCCCCCTTGCCACCACTTCGGGTGCATGACAATAACCAGAACATCCACGGCCCCCGTGTTCTGTATGCTCCTTTCCCCCGTGTTCAACATCTCATGGGGGGGGTACTCTAGACAGCTGGATTTCTTCGGCGATTTCCGCAGGCTCATTAAATGGTATAAGACACTTAGTCTCAAGAAAGCCAAGGAGCGCCAAGCCCGCGAAGTTGCACTCCAAATTCGTTTACAACGCGCACAGGCAGATCTTCAACAAATCCCGACGTGCCCACATACACTGACCTTATTGGCGAACATTCAGGATGAGATAACCCGTTTTGAGTCCTGGCGCATAGACGACCAGCAAATCCCCTCGCGAGTCCGGTAGCGAGCTAAGGGCGACTCGGTCATGAAGGAATTTTACCGCGAGGTAAAACAACATGCCCCCCCAAAGTAACCTCACCGAACTGGAAAATACAGAGGGAGAGGTCTGCCGTTGTCAAAGCCAGATGGAGGAGATCTGTCCATTTTCTTCGCCGCACTGTATTCAGACCGGACACTAGACCCTGACAAGGACACCGCGCAAGATCAAATACTCAACCAAACCCAGCACCTCTTGTCCGCGGCAATGATCGCATCTCTCCGCAAGCCTCTATCGCTGGAGGAACTAACTCAAGTCTCCATGCACATGGAACCGCAGAAGTCCCCCCGGCGGACGGCGTCGTAACCAAATTCTTCAAACACATGTGGCCGGTAATCGGCCCCGACTACCTTCGCATGATCCGAGAAGCCACCACAAGAGGAAGTTTGCCGCCAGGAGTTACTGATGGCTTGATTATCCTTCTGCACAAAGGAGGGACGCGCAGCTTTCTGAATAACTGGCGCCCCATAACCTTGCTCAACTCCACTTACAAACTCTTTGCTAAAGTCCTCCAGCTCCACTTACAACCCATTCTCATGCAGGTGGTCAGCCTCGATCAGTCCGCATTTTTACCGTTGAGATTCATTTTGGATAACATCTTCCTGACGAATGAAACCATCCACCACGCGAAAAAAACAAACCAACCGCTTGTGTTCCTTAAGGTCGACTTCTCTAAAGCCTACGACGAAGTCGACCTGGGTTTTCTTTTTGAAGCAATGGGGAGAATTGGATTTCCAATGGAGTTCATTGGGATGACGAAAATCCTCTTCCGTGACGCGGCAGCCTGCATGAGTGTAAATGGCCAGTTGACCAGTGCCTTCCACATCCGTCAAGGGGTGAGGCAGGGGTGCCCGTTGGCACCCTACCTCATCCAACTGATCGGAGAGATTCTAAATCAGTGTATTAAAAAAGAGGCTAGCTGCAGTCGGATCAAGGGGATAAATATCCCCCGGGGCGTCCGAGCCTCAAACGCTCGCATAGTACGCCGATGGTACTTCGTTAACTTCACATGGTGAGGCGACGGGGGTCCGGCATGCGGTAGCTACCCTGAATACTTTCAGTTCCGCTTCTGGCCTACTAATAAACTGGGCGAAATCTGCTGCCTACTGGTGGAGCCCGAGTTCCGGACCTCGCTCTCAAGAGGGAGAGGTCTCGAAGCTGCTGGGTTCCCCCTTCAGACTCTCCCTCCAGGCAGCCCAGGTCGACCAATTCCTCCTAGATCGTATCGAATGCAAACTCAAATATTGGGTGTCGACCAAAATTAACTCCACTGGCAGGGCCGTAGTAGTCAATGGGATATTGATTTCTGCAATGCTGTACTTTCTCGCAAATTGGGGGGGGCACCAAAGTGGGCATCCGGCGAGTCATCAGCAAGCGGCGAAATTTTCTTTGGGCCAGCTCTAACCAGCAAGCCAGAGCTCGGGTAGCATGGAAAACGTGTTGCCTCAAGAGGAATGAAGGTCTTACGTGGACGCTAAGTCGTCCAGCAAGATCTAGGTAATGGGTAGTTGTTAGTCATAGGTAAGGTAGTCACATTTCTCCCGTACCCTCTGTAGTAATTGATACGAGGGGCTTGTATTTTACTATCTTTGTTTGCAATTGAACAAAGTTCGATTTGTGCAAAAAATCAAAAAAACAAACAAACAAAAACAAAAACTTTCTATGTTTCTTTTGAACATTCCTATTCTTGCTTTTGTTGGATGGATTTCCATTAAAACAAGTTCTAGAATCCTTCTTTTTTTTCTTTTTTTCCTTTTTTTTGACACAAATGAAGATTTCTTTATTACAAAGGTTAGTGTACAGAAACCCAGCTAGGTCTAGCCAAGAGGATTAGGTAACTTACTATGATTAAAGACAAAACTACCATTAGAATCCACTAGATTCCACTCCTGCTTATTTTAATGCTAAGAAGCCAAAATTCTGTTTTTACAACATTGTTGCTGGAACTCCTAAATCCACTTACCGGCTTGTAAGGGCTTGAGTTGTATCTTTTGATGTATTCCATTAAAAACCACATCATTCTACCATGATCCATTAAGTGCAATTAGTATATTCTATTAAAAACTACATCATTTTTCTAAATCCAAATTGACCAAATGACCACTCTCTATAGCAGAAGCCAAAGTTGACTCACTCTCTTAAAGTGCTTGGAGATTTTGTATGCAAATAAACAATGTTTCTATGAAAAGATGAACTATGAGAGGCTTGCATGTATGTTGATTGCGATTCTTGCAATACCACTACTTCATAAGGCGATCATGGAGAGGCTTTTAGATATGGTGCCATCATTTCTCCTCTTTCATGGCCTAGTCATTCATTTTGGATTCAAAGCAAGTAATTTAGAATGTGAACTTCCCATCTCTAGACTTATATTGTGGAGCAACATTTCCAAAATCTATGAAAGACTAATTTTGTGGTGCTTGTCAAACACACATAACAAATTTGATCTATGGTGCCATTTACCCTCTCTCTTTACTCATTCACAGCTATAACTTAGTGCCAAGTAAGTGAAAGGACTTTGGTCCCTTTCAACATCTTTTTTTTGTTCCATACGTTTGTCTACTTCAGCCTAAAATTTGAAGGCAGCATTCTATTCTATTTTTGAGTTACTACATTCTCAATTACATGTCGCTTCCAAATCCAAAGTTGTCCCATTTTTGTTGTATAATGCATAAAGAAGACTTGCCCTAGTGATTGATAACAACCAAGATTTCATATTAGATGGTCGATCTAGCCATAGTATAAGAAAACAATTCTTTTACTTGTCCCTTGTCATACAAACACATTTCAAGATCTTCAAATGGT